AGGCTTTGCCCTCATATCATCCGCCACTTCTCAGGGGATGGTGGAGCAAAGCAGCTTTAGAAATGCAAGTTCGAAGCAAATGGGGTGCAGAGCTCTGCCTGCCTAGCATGTGCTGATCCCCAGAACTGAAGCAGAGGCTGTTTAAAAGGCTCAAGTGCCATGCCTACCTCTTACCACTAGACAAAAGAGCTATTTCTTTATCTTCTCTGAGTACAGAGGATAATGCAGCCATGTCTCTCACCAGATATTATAAGTGGTAAGAGGAAATGAACCAAGCAAAATGTCTCACTCAATAATTACAGCTACAACATTTAGTAATGATGGCAATGGTAAGCAGAAACAGCTCTCTCACCCTCAGTGGGAAGGTGGGATGAGGGGGAAGGCCCTAGCCAGACACCTCTTTGCCTACGAATACTGAAGAAGGAGCTTAACAATCACTGTCAGAGAGATCTACTTCCCTTTATCGCCCATAACAGGACCTTAAAATACCCATGTCCACGGCTTAAAACCTCATGAAATGCTGCCCAGGGTAGTACTGTATTATACTCCAATTTCATGACTGCTCTCCCAAATTCTCATTTCTTCCCCTAATATTTCACTCAAATTTTAAAATTCAAAATTCTTCTTCTGCAAAGGACTTATTCTGCAGCTGTGTATAGCACATCTGCTTTTCATACTTGAGGAAGAGGGCGGCAAGAGTCACAGAAAGTATTATATAAGAGTCATTCCTCCCACACTGGGAAGTTTGCAAAGATTTTGTTTCCCCTGACTATGAAATATTACATTAGCTAAAACAGAATCCCATTTTTCAAAATATATATTTTTACAAATATCTTGAACCAACCAACCAATAACCAACATTTATTTGTATAAAACGTCCTAGGACAAAGTATTAGAACTATTTCCAAGACAACGCTGTTGCTGGAGTTTTTCTGCCTGGCCCACAGTCAGGGCAAATCTCTCTCACCCGCCAGTCCCAAGCCGCTCAAACCCGATCAAGTAAACACAGAGACTTATATTGGTTACAAACTGTATGGCCGTGGCAGGCTTCTTGCTAACTGTTCTTACAGCTTAAATTAATCCATTTCTATTAATCTATACCTTGCCACATGGCTTGTGGCTTACCGGTACTTTACATCTTCCTTGTCCTGATGGCGGCTGGCAGTGTCTCCCTCACCCAGCTTCTTGTCCTCTCTCTTCTCCTCTCTTAGTCCCGCCTATACTTCCTGCCTAGCCACTGCCAATCAGTGATTTATTCATTGACCAATCAGCAACACATTTGACATATAGACCATCCCACATCACAACGCCTTTATTGACTAAGACCCCTGCCCTCAGACTGCCCTGAGTCTACTGTAGAGAACAGACCCAAGAGGGCACTAATTAGACTATGCAGGTGAGGTCCCAACCACCTACAATTCCAGCTCCAGGAACCCTCTGGCCTCTGTGGGTGCTTGCATGCAGCTGGTAAACAAAGCTACACAGGCACACACACACACACACACACACACACACACACACACACACACACACATACACAGAGGTAAAAGTAAATAAATTCCTCAGGGACAACAAGATAGCCTCAGTCTGCTGCCAACCCTGATGACCTACATTTGATTCCAGAGAAAGCAGAGCGGTGGACAGAGAGACAGACTTCTAAAAGTTTTCCTCTGTCCTCCACATGCTCCAAGTGGCGTGCATGCCCACACACGTACACAGAAACAAATGTAATAAATTGTAAACAAGATAAATTTCTTCACGATTTACTTTCAGTAAGTGCTATATCATTTTATAGCCCTACAACCAGGTTAGGTACAACTTGTGACAGGCAAAAGGGGATGATGATCGGGAAAACGTTACAAGCCCTGATCTGGACACCCCGGATGGACCTTTAGAGATACTCCAGCTTGGCAGGCTCAACCTGATTTTCCCACACTCCCTGTCCACCCTGCCCACTCAGCAACATTAATCCAGAAAGCTGGATAAATCAACTAGCTGGCTTGGTCACCACGCTGGAGGAACACTGTTCTGCACCAGGTCAGCTCCATCCTCCAGAGACGTTCAAGGTCAAGGGCGGGAGAAAAGAAATCTGGGCCAAGTCAGTTTCCTTTGTCCGCTGAGATCAATGGGCTGGTGGGTAGGACGGATGGAGCCTTGCTGTCTTGAGTCAAGCTCTCTAGTCATCACTGAAGACAATTCTACCTTGTTTTCATCGCTCCTAGAGTATGTTTGTTGGCCTGGGAGAGGCGAAGGACACGAAACGTTTTTTTAACAACTGACTCACGGGAAGTGGAGTGGCTTGACAACATGGGCGGCCCTGTACTCTCCCTGACATAAGTAACTTCAGAGAGCCGCCTGGCTCGGTGGGATCAATCTGAACACTGGAGCACATGATTGTAACTGAAACCTGAAACTTCCTGTGTATAGATGCGTGTCTGCATATGTGTAGGCACACGTGAGGACATGCATGTGCTAGGCTGAGGCTGATGCTGGGACTTACCTTCACTCTTTCACCTTAAAATTTCACCTTGATTAAACCCAGGGCTTACTGACATGGTCTCAGTAGTCAGCTGGGGATCTCTTGACTCTGTCTCACAAAGCTAGGATTACAGGCAAGCCCCCACATCTACCAGCATGTATGTGGGTTCTGGGGATCCAAATTCTGGTCCCCACGCTTGCATGACAAACACTCTTAAAAAAAAATAAAAAAGATGGCTCAATGTTAAAGACAAGTTCTCACTATGTATCCCTGGCTGGCTGGGAACTTACTATTTAGATCAAGCTGGCCTTAAATTTTTGATGATCCTGCAAATGATGAGCCTATACCTCCGGAGTTCTGGGATCACAGGCATGTGCCACAGTTCAATTATTACAGAAAGATCCACTATTAGACATCTTTCTACTATAACCAAAGAAGTTTAATTTTCCTCTTTTACAGTCATTTTATATTATGAAAACTGTTTGAACCAAGTCAACAAAGGCACAGAAACCATGTGTTGTACCATTATTTACAATGTGGTGCAATTGTTTGGACTGTACGCATAGTCAGTGTTTGCCCAAATCTCGATTCTCCAAATTACCATCCAGTAAGACTTCAAGGAAATTTCCCAACCACCTACTTGAAGTGACTCAGAAGGCCACCCATCCCCTAGGATTCAATAAGAAACATGTATTTTCATTAAGCCAGAAGATACTCTTAACTTCCTGATGACGGCAGTCATTTCTGAAGCAGTTTAATTTTACTTAACAATACCTTATCAAAATAACTTCAGAGAAGGACAGTAAAATTATTAGCCATCTTGAGGTAGAGGAGGTACATCACCTGAGGACCTGTACGTGACAAGTGCCTACTTCACAGGTAGTGTTGAGTCTTTCCCTGGGCTGCTCCTCTGACGGTCAGGCAGAAATCTGGTTTCAGAAACAGTTTTCAGAAAACTGGAGGTAGGCTGATCTCTGTGAGTTCAAGGCCAGCCTCTTCTACATAGTGAGTTCCAGGACAGCCAGGGCTACATAGTGAGACCTTGTCTCAACAAACAAAGTAACGTGGTCCTCCCAACGATGTTATCTTCATTTAACTGACTCACCTACAGATTTCCTGCCCTCTTCTCTTAGTTCTTTAAAACCAGAACTCACTAAGACAATGTGTCAGTTAGCCCCCTCCTACTGATACTTCCACACAAGAAGACAACTTAATTTTTATTGGTTTGTCATGTAGCCAGAGCAAGGGTACCATTTGATAAAACAGAGAAACTCAGCCACTTTGAGGACTCCTCAGAATGGCCGCCTTTTTTTTTTTTTAAGAGGTGAACTGTAAAAGAAAAAGCATAAACTGAGGGCTATTAGAAATTAGTAACCCTGGCATAAATGCTGCTTACATTTCCTTATCTGCTAAAGGGAGAAAATGACTTTAGAACATAAGCTCATGCTGAAATAAGAAAACCGCCTAGTTCAGGGATCAGCTTCTTCCCTCTTGTTGCTATGACTACAGGGAATGCCCTATTTGCACTAAGAAAGATTCCTGAGAGGTAACTCCATGTAAACATTCAGTCCGTACACACTGAGGGATCTGCCTGATCTTTCTGAGTGCTGTTCAGAACTGAAAATCAGGTTCTTAACTACCAGCCACCCCTCCCTTCCTGAAAGCAAGTAAGTATTGCAGGAACTCAAGAATGACCCAACATATTGCCAGCAGTCCTTCTGAGTGATGTATGGTTGGTGTGCCAGGATTACTAATTCCTAATAGGCCTCTGCTGCTGGTTCCCTACACCCTAGAAGGCAGGATAGATTCACCTTGATTCACCTCGTTGCCGACCAAATGTGGAAAATCCTTTAAACACGGCTAGTTGTCCATTTTGGCTACACACTGAAATCATCTGAGCAACTTTCAAAACTCTAAATGCCCAAGTCATACCCTAAACCAAGCACATCAGAATATCTAAGGGGTGGGGCCAGGTACCCTATATTTTAAAAAGCCCCCAGTATGGTCCAAGACGAAGCCAAGGTTGAGACCTGCTATGTTGGATCGCCCCTCTTGATTTTCAAGTGACTTCTGCCACAAGTGAAAAGCCAAGCAAGTCAGAACCACAGCTGTGCACAGAAAGTGTGCGGGATCCCAAACACAGGGACAGCACAGGTGAGCTGCCCTGGGCTCCACCAAGGGTTGCCCGGCGCCTCACTGGAGGGCCATGCTTTCCAACAGTTTGCCCTTGCAGCCAAAATAAGCTGGCTAATTTGAGAGGTACCATTGTCTGTATTTGTCTCGAATCGTTAGAATTTTCTTCCCTTTTAAAAAGGCAAATCTCCTGGGAAGGAGAGAGCATGTGTGCACCCCGGCCCAACACCAACTCCAGGGGGGCAGACGATCCCCGGGGCTGCCTAGAAAGCGCCCGGCACGCTGCCCGGCGCTGCGCTGGGCCGGGGGAGCGCGCAGCGGCCCGCAGCCACTGCACCTGCCGCTGGGCACCGGGCCGCACCTGCCGCGCCTTGCCCGCCCCTCCTACCTTCCAGCAGCTCGTCCAGGCTGGTGACCTTCCGGCTGCCGTCTATGGTGTAGATTGTGCGGACGCCCTGGGGCAGGTTCACATTGTCTGACAGCGAGCGGGTGAGCTCCATGAGGAGCGCGTCGAAGGAACGGAAGCGGTCGCTGGAGATGGCAAAGACCAGGCCTTTGAAGTAGCGGTCCCCATTCCGGTAGAAGCGCGCCTTCTTGGCCTTCTTCTCCGAGCTGAGGGCCTGCAAGGTCCGCGTGCGGTAGAAGCTGCAGTGAGCACTGTGCGCCGGGCTGGGGATGAGCCCGTTGCCCTTGGGGCCGGAGATGCCGCTGCCCCCGGAGGAGCTGGGAGCCCCTCTCCGCGACCCCGGCCGCGGCCTTTTGTCCCGTTCTTCAAAATGCTCCAGCTCAATGCTCCTGGTGCTGGCCATCGCGGCTGCTCAGAGAGCTCGCCACAAATGGATGAATTAATAAAGGGCCGTCCCCGGCGCCCCGGGCGCGCCGCGCGCCGCGATCTGGGCGCTCCGGCCTTACAGCCGCGGGACACCTGGCTCGGCCATTCGGGCCGTCCGGCTGGCAGGTGGGCCCGCTCAGCCCGCTAAAGGCGGCCGCCGCGCGCAGCTGCCCAGCTCATTGTCCCGCGCGCCCTCTCGGTCGCCGCCGCCGCCGCCAGCTGGGGAGTCCCACGCCCCCCAAGCGCCTCCTGCGCCCGGCCACGCCTCACAACTAGCGCGCGGGCAGCGGGCCCGGAGCCGCCAAGTTGAACGGCCCCGAGGCCGGCCCCCGGTTCGCGTCCGGCCCGCGCGGAACGGAGGAAGGAAGCGGAGCGGGGGAGGGGGAAGGGGAGCGAGCGTGGGCGAGGCGCCTCGGGGCTGGCTCGCGCGGCCCGGGGTCCCGGGGTTCCCGCCGCCGCCGCCGCCGCCGCCGCGCTCCTCGCGCGCGCCCAAGGCCCAGTCCCCGGCCACTGAGCGTCCCGGCTGAGCGGGGCTCCTCAGGCCGCGCGGGGGCCCTGTGGGAAGAGCGCAGCCGCCTCCCACGCGCGCACGCCTGCGAGCATCCGCGCTCTCGGCCGCCCAGCTGCCTGTCAGGGCCTGGACCCGGGAGGACACCTTCCGTCCCTCCAGGGATACCACACAGCGCACGGAGAGGGAGGAGGAGGAGGAGGGGAGGAGGAGGAGGAGGGGGAGGAGGGCGGCGCCGCGCGAGGAGCCGCTCGACCGTCCGAGGCCGCCCCGCCCGCCAGGCTGCCCGAGCTGCGCGCTCCCGGGCGTGGCCGCGCTGCGCGCTCCGCAGCAGCCGCGGGGGCCAGCGTAACCGCGCGCAAGCCAAAAAAAAAAAAACTACAAAGGAAGGAGACTCAAGGGCAGCAAAGACATCCTTCACCCGCCTCCCGGGGAGGAACCGAGGCCAACCTCGGGCCAGGAATACAAAACATAGCACTAGGTTTGGACGCGATGTTCATTTTTTTAATAAACGACCGGGGCATTGTTGTATTTAAAGATCCTTGGGGTGGGGGTGGGGGGTTGTAGGGGGGATCCTTCACACTTTTTATTGCAGATTCGCTAACGCGGTAGTTCCAGTAACTTTAAATGAATAAATGACTAGAAGTTATTGGTTTGGGGAAGGTTGATTTAATCAAATATCTGTGGAAAGCTTGCCAGTTGCCAAACATTAATCCCATCATTGGGGATGTTCAAGCAGAGAATGGAACCCCTATGCTCTTCCCCACGCTCGCACGTGTTCAATCTGAGGTTCTCATAGAAGTGGACTGACAGACAACCATCACGCAGAAAATCTGTAGCGGTGTCTGGCCCACAATAAAAGCGTGTTTCCAAAAAAAAATTTTTTTGAAGCATTGGTTATTTTACTTTGGTGATGAAGCTCAAAGACATTTGGCCCTAATCTGACATATGAAATTAATGATTCAGCACCTGGTTCTTTGGCGCCTCTAGACAGCAGCTCCAAACTGTCCTTGAAGGTCCGATGACAAAGAGGCTTTGCTTATAAAGGGCTGACGTCCTGGAACCGCGTGGAACAGGGATGGGTGGAAACACAATCTTCAGCACCGTCGAAGCAAGCCACTTTTCATAAGGTATTTAATGAATATCATACAGATCAAGGCCTAGTTGGCCAAAACTTGAGAGCTGATAGAGAGGGAAAAAAAAAATGTCCCATGGGCATCCAAGATGACTAGGTACTAAGGGTACTTGCTGCCAAGCCTGATCGCCTGGGTACGATGGCCAGAACCCACGTGGTAGAAAAGAAAGCATGCATTCCTGCAACTTATCTTCTGCCCTCTGCATGCATGTCATGGCATACAACACGATAAATAAATGTAAAATTTTTTCAGAGAAAAAGAAATTGTTCCTGCATTCCAATGCTAATGCAAACAAATTGGGGGCAGGTGGGCTTCACAGAGACAAGGACTAATTAATCTGGATTGCCTTATGGTTTAAAATTTATAGACCTGTAGCAGATTTTCCTGTTTCACGAAACTGCAGACTTTCCTCAGTAAGATGTTTAAAACTGGCGTTTCCCTTGTTGAGATATTCGCCTTCTTCTCAGAAACACAGTCTGACCTGCTAATTGTTCACCTAGACTGTCTAATAGGTCACCTGAAAGCCAGCATGGCCTTACCTATCTCTTGGTTGTGAATTTCCTCCATACTGTTTTGTCACTCCCCTTAACCTAACATTTACTTGAATAAAAATTTGGGGGGAAATACTTCAAATACGTTCCACTTCTCAGCTACAGGCAATTCAAGAAATTAAATCTCAACATATTCCCTCCCTCTTTCACATTAGAAATGACTCCTTTCTGCTCTTAGTACATAATAATTTATAATCACCGACTATCGAGTGGGTGTAAAAATTCCACTGACAATCTGCAATAAGAATCTTCTAGAAACTTCTTGCAGAAAAGCTCAACTTGGCAGAAAGCAAAGGACTATTGTTGGTTCTCCACACTTCTGGACCACCCAGGCTAGCAATGCAATTTAGAGCCGTCTTTGGCACCCTACTTAGTGCCTAGTACTCCCAAAGTCCACATTGCCCAGGAAAGCAGAATGCAGATGTTCATGTGGTAGAATCTGTTTAAATAAAACTTCATTAAATACTCCACTAAGTGGCTTTATATTTAAAAAAAAAAAAAACCACTTGCCCTGACTATTTCCCAGTTTTACCTCATGTTACTCCATTTCTCAAAGGCCTTGACATGTCTCCATCTTTTTTGGCCCCAGGCTTCCTCTTTGAAAGGCAGTTTTCCAGCTAGTCCATTACTTATTACATAAAAGATGCCTACGGACCTTTTAGGCTGCAAGCACTTTGGAGATCTGCTGTCTCATGTTTTAATTTCTGTTCACTGTGTGCCAAGCACTTTTCCCAAGAGCAAAAGTGATGAAGTAACTGTTTCTTAGTGGAAGGGCCTGGGAACCGTAGCCTTGAGTTTTTGAAACAAAGCACAGTTTTTAATTTCGTAACCTTTAATGATTATAAATCCCAGTGTTTCCCATTAAGCTTTAATGGGAAAGGACATACGGAGTTCAGAAGGACTTTCCTATCCCTGCGCCATAGCCAGTACCCGGATTGGAACAGGGCTGGGAGAGGTGATTTTCTCATTTGTTGCTTCCTCAAGGAGGACTTGCGGTCCGTTCATACCTGCTTCTTGCAGCACTTGACATACATATTTATAGAAATGTAGCTGTTATTTTCCACAATTTGTTGTTAACAATGTCGAAAGTGAAAGTCCACGGAAAAGTACTCCGGTACTCACTTTTGCTTCTAGAGACTCCCATTTCCCAGAGCCAACAGGCAATTTGCTTCGTGGTGAGAAGAGGAGGTGGAAACCAGCTAGGCAGTTTAGGGGCAAGACCTCCAAAAGCAGAACCTGCAGGAGCACCCTTGCTTCTCTGGCCAGGGGAGCTGAGGGGAACACCGGTTCATGAGTGCTCTTAAATCACCCTTGCCTGTAGGCGCCAGGGACAAGTGGGCCTGGAACTCCAGACCGGACACAGTCCCTCTGAACGGCTTCAGAGTTGGACCCTAGATTTTAGGGTGAAATGAGTTGTATCTACTCCCCAATTTCAACCCATCTCCTAAACGAAGAGACGGGAATGTCGCTGCAGCCTTGATCAGGGCTCCGTGGTGACCAAGGGAGAGCTATTTCTCTGCCCTGGGTGGGAATCTAACATTCCAAACTCTCCAAAACAGAGTCCTGGCTAAGACACCACACCTCAAAAAGGATGATTCACTTTCAGACACAATAAAAAGATGGGGAGATGAATTATTCAGTTAAGGAAATAATTTATATTTCCTTCCAGAATCCCTGCTCCTGTGCAGTCTCTTAACGGAGCCCCAGCTGGGTGCTTGGGTTAAGTCTACCTGCTTTTCTGAATCATACAGAATGGCTAACTTTCCCTTTTTCTTTCTTTAAATTTTATTTTTTTTAATCTTATTATTTTTAAAATGTTAAAATTATTATTATTATTATTATTATTATTATTATTATTATTATTATTTGGATATTCGTCAGTGCCTGGATATGCTTTCCTGGATACTCTGGGCTTTCTCTCTTTATCTCTGAAGCTACTTCCCCAACCCTTTCCACATCTGTTCTTGACAGCTCCTCCAGACAGCTGCTGAGATTTACGGTTTGCCTGCCCTGGGGTTTTGTTTGTTTGTTTGTTTGTTTTTAAAATGCTAATATAGCTCCCTTCTGAGTCCATTCTTAAATTATTTTATTAACAAAACTCAAAACCTTAGACAGAGACTCAAAACTTTCCCCGATAACATGGGACACTCCAAATGAACATCCTCACATTCCCAGTGACATTTGTAGTTTGGGCTTTATTTAAAATCCAAAATAGAATAACTTGTTTTTAAGACCAACCATGATTTTAGTGTTTTCCTCTTGTCAGGAGCTCATTCAATGTTTATGCAAATGCTGAAGGTGACAGACTGCTCACGTCACTGTACCTGTTACCATCAGATGGTGTGGGAATACTTAAAGAATAATGACTTCATGATGATTAATTAGTAGCCATGATTGGGTTAAAGAAACAGATTATAGACAAGGAAATATTAAGCAGCAGAGACTGAATTGCCTCGCTGAGCTACCTCTAAAAAATGTTCATTTCAAGCTTTCAAAGCCTATTAATCACAAGGTGGCCTGTCTTCATTAACTGAGAGTTTAAAATGAATGCGTTTTAAATTTGTAGTAGGTTTCTAATGCAAATTAGCTGATTGTTTCAGCTCAAATGTTCTATACTCCCTTCCCATATTTGAAATATCCAAATGTTAAAATAATACATTTATCTTACTTATGGAAACAGCAATATTATTCAGATTTGTTCAGTATTCTTTAATAAACCTACATTCATTTTACTGTGATACATTTAGATTTAAAAACAATCTCGCATTTCCCACAACCCTATCAGCCTATCTGAAACAACAGATAAGGGTCATGGTTTGCTGCATGCATGAAAGATTTTCCACATACACGTATGTGTGTATGTATATATATATATATATATATATATATATATATGCATATGCACATACATATATGATGATAGCTTAACATTTATGAAAGAGGTTGTTAAGGTTTAGATCTTAAATGTCCCCTGCTGTCTCACATCTTAAAGGCCTCCTCGCCAGCCTGTGGCACGAGGTCATGCAACCCTCAGGAGGTGGGGCCCAAAGGAAGGAAGCTAGGTCACCGGGTATGTGTCCTTCAGAAGGGTCTTTTGCCTTTCCCCTCTCTCACTTTGCTTTGTGGCCAGTGTGAGGTGACCAGCTTTTCCCACTTACCTCCTTCTCTCCGTGCTGTTCTGCCTCAACGCAGGCCA